CAGCGGCCGCTCGAACAGTCTACGCGCGCTCTGATTGGTCGGGGTTTTCGCTTAATATCTCCTTAACGAAGCCCCATCCGACATTTTTGCAAAGGAAATTGTTGTTCAGAATCGTCTCAGCTACCCCCCATTTCCGGCTCCTCCCCGACTTTTGGGACACCCTGTATATATATTTTATTACATTATTTTATATCATGAGCGTCAGGAGTTTTTATTTTCCTTTCTATAAACCTAGTTAAAACTTAACAGGTTGGAATAGTCGGTTTACGAGTACAAGATACGCGGTAGCTCCAGCGCCAGCTATACGCGGTGGCGTATAATTTTTCATGTACTTGCCGTCGAGACGCTACAGCCCCTCTAGATTCAAACACGGTGCGAACACAAGTGCTCGTTCCAAACTCTTTTAAACCACAAATCTCGCCCTGATCCACCATCTTCCTCTTTTTTATGGTATTCGACAAAACGAGAAAATTATTTAGTTTTATCGGGATCCATTCAAACATATTGTAATTGTAAATAACGGTCATTTTGACATAAAACCAAACGTATACATACGTATGTGTCGATATCCCACAGAATTAACACTGGAATTCAACAAACTCAACAAAATTTAGAGGTAAAAATATAAGGACCACTCACGTATAGTAAATGTATAAATAAATACAAATTTCAACTTCCAAAAGTCTACTAATAATTAAACATACAGTTATATATCGCATAATCTTGGGTGTTCTTTCAGTTCCAGCAAAAGCAACCGGACAAGTTCTTCTCGGTGAGGTGGACATTGCTGTTCAGGAAGATGGTTTCGATAAATTTACAACGGAGGAACCCTTTACAAAAAAATGCATCGTCAATGGAAACGCATATTCTCACAGTCAGACGGTGCGTAAACAAACGTTTCAATTTCGTTTTAATATTTTCATTATTTCTGCTTGAATAATTTGTATGATTACTAAGTCCGAATCCCAATCGTGCTATGGAGCGATGACAACGTTATTTATTTTCATATATTTCCCAGAATAAAATACGTGGAACAGCTTTGATAATGCTTGCTTACATGTGGATTGATATCGTATCTGGCAAGCATTTCCGTGCCATCGATCGAAATGTTTACACGTGCGTTCCCGCATTGAGTTCTGAAAAATACAAGGGAAATCAAATTTCGTGATATGCACGGTGGTACTGTCTAAATAATCCCCTAAAAAAATTCAAGAAAGTAGAAAAAAATGTGAAATCGAACTGAGCAGCCAGTACATGAAGGTCCTTTTCAGTAAAGTGCAAGGTGACACTGTGTAACATGATATCAAATTCGGTGCTTTCCAACTATGTGCAGCTAAAATGCTGTGTTCAACAGTGCAGACGTTCAGACCCTAATGGCAACTCATGTAAGCTTACTGCTCTGCACTTTGGCGGTGAAATGAAGAAGCTAAATAGTGTATCAACCATAAATTGAGACTGTTTAGACATTTGCCTAGATCGTGGCCTGGAAGTCAAATGCTTGGCGTGGTCAGGCAAAGCATTCTCAGATCATCAATACCCATACTTTCTCTCTCGCAGACTTTCACATAATTTGTCAATTTAAAACTTTGACAATATGAGTACATTTTCATTTTATTGTGTTTCAAAATATTTCTAAGGATACTCATTGACGCAGATACCTCTCCCCTCACAGGCTTTCAGATAATTTGTCAGTTTAAAACGCTGACAATATGAGTACATTTTCATTATTTTACATTTTAAAATAATTCTTATTCATCAAAACCTTGACCTTGCCTGGCCACGCCAAGCATTTGACTTCCAGGCCACGGACATCTAGGCAAATGTCTAAACAGTAGTAGGGCTGTTCAAGTACCCGAAAAAATCAAGCCGAGTTGGACTCGCTCGAAGTCACGAGCCGAGTCGAGTACTTGAAAAAACCGAGTAGCTTGAAAGATTCAGGCTACCTGAAAGAAACTAAGTAACTTGAATTTTTCAAGCTACCCGAATAGAACCGAGCGGTCCGAAAAAACCAAGCAGCCCGAAAGAACCGGACAACTCGAATGGTTTCAGGCTTTTCCGAGTACACATGTTAGTCCGCCGCCGGCAACAATGGTATTATAAAAACGACGTAGCAAACTAGACCCAAAGAAGGTCGACCATCATTTTCCGTATTTCTTATCGGATCTTAACGAATGTATTACCAATCGATTTCTTATGTTATCCCGATGAAAATGGTACCAGACACGATACAATTCGGATTATTTAGAAGGAAATTATACGAAAAAAATGATTTGCACGCTTTTTGTCTATCTTCGTTAAAAATAGTCTGATTTACATAGTGTTTAATAGCGTGGTTTCATCAGGAAAACGTAAGGAATCCATCGGCGTTACTCCCGTAATAATACGATGCATATGAAGTGAAATCGGGTGATTACTGAAAGCCATAAACCAAGGGTTGAACCATCCAAAGCGCACGTGTGCCAAATTTAACCCACGACGGACCTCAAAGGGTCCGAGCATTAAAGTGTAAAATGTTTGTCATGATATGTTCACTTTTTGTTGTGTTGTATAAAATTTAAAGAAATAAATTGCACTACTGAATTTCTGATGTTATACTGATGAAAATGGTACCAAACACGATATAATATTGATTAATTTTAATTATTAACAAGACAAGCGTATAATTGGAAAAAAATTTTTCTTTAATTATTCGTGTACTATAAATTCTACAGACCACGCTGTTACACATCAGAAAAATCTTTTCATCTGTCCATTTTCTTATTTTCTCATTATTTATATTTGTTACAAGACTCTTTATCATGCGTTCTGTGAACGTATGAACTGTATTCTAATACAATAAATTGTGCATTAGCAATAGTTGATCTCTGTATTCATTTCTCATACCTTCTTTAATAAATTTCTTGCAATGAGACAACCTGCAATGGGTTCCGTGTACTTTTGAAACCTTAAAGGATTCAAACTGATCGCCTATTTGCTATATTATTGTAATCACTTTATCAATAACATTTAAATGCAACAAGACTTTCTGTCATGTATCGTGGGTACTTTTGAGAAATTAAAGGACTAAGTCTGACCTCTCTTTTTCTATATTATTGTAATACAATAAATTATGTGTTACAAATAGTGAATCTCTGTCCATTTTCTCATTATTTAAATTTCTTGGGACTAAAACTGATATTGCAATACGATAAATTCTGCGTTACAGATAGTGGATTTCTTTTTTCATTTCTCGCTTTATCTTTAACATTCGAATTTCTTGCAGCAAGACTTTCTGCCACGCGGTCTGCGTACTTCTGAACTTTATTCTAATACAATAATGTTGGAAATCCTACTTATATTTTTCTCCTATCATACATCGCCTAGCTAATACAGTATTTTCCTTTGCCTTCTCCAATTCCTAAAACCTCAACTTTCACTTTTCCACCAGGTCTCTGTTCGTCAAGAACTTATAAATTTCCCACCCCCAAAAACCTTTTTCCCACGCCAATCGACCTTGCTCACGGTCGCCCACGATCGATTCTTCAGATCTTTCCGGGCAGTCAACCGAGCTACTCTAAGCATATTTTAATTGTTAGTAACCTAGAGTAAGAAATAAAAGTATTAAATAAATAATTTGTTAAGATTATTCCTTTTCACTTCAATCTGGTTCTCCAACAAAAATTTGGTGTCAGCAGTGGGATATAGATCGGCACTTGCGTTAGCAGTGGCATTTTTGAATACGCAGATTCAACCCTGTGCGTGAGTGGCAATTTTAATTGCGAAGCTGATTGGATTATCCGAGGAAGTTCTCAAACAAGAAGAAGCAGCACGGTAAGTACCGGAATTTTAGTATTCTTTCAATATCAAATATTTGCAAGGCCAATATTCAATCTCCACCCTAATCATTTGAATCAAGAGATCTAATCCTGTTGTTTGACAAGTTGTTCTTAAGAATTCAATTTCAAAATGTCACCTCCGACATCTTCAGTGCAAGAAACGGAGAAACTTAGTTTAGAGTTTTTGGTTCGTCTAATTCCGGATAATTTTGACGGTGATAGATTAAAACTTCGGAGTTTCATTAAACAGATTGATGCCGTGTTTGAATTAGCCAAACCAGAGCAATACGCAGCATTGCTATTATTCGTAAAAAACCGCATCATTGGTAAAGCCAGAGAACACGTTGACGTTCATTGTAATTTAACCACTTGGGACGAAATATTGGGGTTATTAATGCGTTTATATCAAGATAAGAAATCAATTGACCAGATGTTTGAGGAATTGAGCAGCATCCGGCAGGAGCGTAACGAGAACATCTCCCAATTTTATGAAAGGCTAGAAGATCTGTCTTCAAAAATTTTAGTAACGGTACATGTAAACAGTTCAAACGATAACACTTTAAGAGGGCGTTTAACAATGATAGAAGAACTAACTTTGAATAGATTCATATACCATAGCCACCCTTCTATATCACAAATGCTAAGATATTGGCAATTCGACAAGATCAATGATGCTCTTACAGTCGCGGTTGCAGAAGAAAAAGCTCTCAGATTACAATACGATAATTCACAAACTCGCAGCTGTAGAATTTGTTTAAAGAGCGATCACACTACTAGAGATTGTTACCAAAATAAAAGTTGTAATAATTCATTTCAAGCTCCACGTGCAATCAATTATAGCAATCCTATTAGACCAGCAAATTCACAAGGTTACTATAAATCTAATGAACAATTTCGGAATACATCAGGACCAGTTAATTATTCTAATCAACCCGTAAGATATCAACAAACACCTCGAAACAATCAAGTTCCAAATACTGCCATTAAACAATGTAATTATTGCAAAAATTTCGGTCACCTCATAAATGAATGTCGGAAAAGGCAATACAATAATAATCTTCGACGTCAGGGCTCATCGTCAACTGTTAATAACACTCCTGTTGTAAATAATAGGAATGTCTATTTTCAAAATCAGGATTTTCACAAGGTTCATCACGAGAACAATCCGCCCCCATGCACATTCCAATCCGAACTGACACATGCTCCAACAGTGGATCAAATCACTCAGGAATCCAACAATTTCCTCTGTTGAAGAGTAACTATTCGTCCTACGAGGGAGATTTAGGTTATGTTCTATTCGAGTCCAATTCTTCAAAGTCTGAAGATAAAATTCTAAAATTTTTATTTGATTCTGGCGCTTCGGTCTCTCTCATAAAAGCATCTAGCCTTGAAGGGTTCAAAATCAAAAACTCAACAACTTTTTCATTAAACGGTATTTCACTTAATTCACCTATCAGCACTCTAGGAGAAACGGAAATAAAACTCAGAATTCAGAATAAGGAAATTGACATAAAATTCCAACTGCTTTCAACAAATACTAATATACCGTTCGATGGTTTAATCGGTACTAATTTTCTTAAGTCTCGTAATTGCAAAATCGACTATTCAAATCTAACTATTTCAATTTCCCCAATTCCATTTCCTGTACCGATTTACCTGAACGTTACACAACCTTCTACTTCGTTTATCTTATTAAGGCCTAGATTAAAAACAGTTGTCAAGCTAAATGTCTCAAATCCTTTAAAATTAACAGAAGGAATTATTGCATCACAAGAATTAGACGATGGATCGGTATTAATTCCTAATGCAATTGTAAAGGTCGAAGGTCAGAATACGTGCATTATCACGGTCATAAGTACCTCATCCGAACTAAAACAAATTCCAATCCCTCAACTCTCGCTTGAGCGAATGTCTAAACACGCTCGAATTTTTAAATTAGCCCCAGGTCAAGGAAATAATCAATTGGAACAAAGATTAAAAGTATTGAATGAAAAACTCAACCTTGATCATTTAAATTCTGAGGAGCGCAATTCCATTGAAAATTTATGCAGAGAATTTAATGACATTTTTCATTTACCTACGGATTTATTGACTTGTACAACCACAATGTCTCACAATATTGTAACTAGCGACGAACAACCAATTCGCGTAAAATCTTATACATATCCAGATATTCATAAAAATGAGGTCACCAAGCAAATCGAAACAATGCTACAACAGGGTATAATTAAACCGTCTGTTAGCCCCTAGTCTAGCCCTTTATGGGTTGTCCCCAAGAAAGCGGACGCCGCAGGTAAACGGAAGTGGCGTATCGTTATTGACTAGAGAAAGTAAATGAAAAGACAGTGGGAGACCCTTACCCGCTTGCAAATATTGAAGACATCCTCGACCAGTTGGGCCATGCCTAGTATTTTACAATTTTAGACCTAGCTAGCGGTTTTCACCAGATCCCAATGGATCCTCTCGACAGTCCTAAAACTGCTTTTACAACACCTCAGGGTCAGTTCGAATTTACTAGAATACCATTTGGGCTTAAAAACGGGCCTGCACGATTTTAACGATTAATGAATGTAACTTTAACGGGATTAATAGGAAAAAAAATTAATAGGTTTTGTTTATCTTGGCGATATTGTTGTGTATGCCGCAGAGTTACCAGATCATAACCGAAAACTTAAAAACGTATTTTCCAAACTTCGTGAGAACTATCTTAAATTGCAACCGGACAAATGTAACTTTCTGCAACACTCGTGCGAATTTTTAGGTCATGTAATTACGGACAAAGGCATTCAACCGAATCCAAGAAAGGTAGACGCAATCGCAAACATGCCGCGACTTCAAAATCAAAAGCATATAAAAATGTTTTTACGAATGACCGGGTATTATAGAAAATTTGTTCCAAATTATTCTTATCGCTAAAACTCTAACACAATTATTAAGGAAAGATATAAGTTTTGTCCTTATTTGTATGGTCGAAAGTTTACAATTTTCACCGACCATCGACTCTTACAATGGTTATTCAGTTGTAAAAATCCAACTTCTAAGTTAGTTCGATGGCGATTAAGACTAAGCGAATATGAATATGATATTAAATACAAGCCAGGTCGTGTAAATTCCAATGCAGATGGTCTCTTTAGACTCGTTTCAAAAAATAATCAAGGTCAAGAATTCGTAAATTTAGCTACCACGTTAACTTATCAGGACTTCATTAAATTTCATTACACGAATCAAAACGTAATAATTTACGAAAAAGAAAATGGCCCCTTAGTCAAAATAACGGATCCCATCGTGTTAATATGGTCACAAGACTTAGATGAAGCTAATCCCTATTCTGATTATGTTACGCTCAAATTTTGATATAACTAGTCTTAATCTAGTCAACCCAAGTATTAATGGAATAACAGAACTAAAAAATTAGAAGCAAACTCTTTATTTAGTTTTTCCGCTTAATCTGCATTTTGATGGACTATAATATAAAAATTTTTGAAACGTTATTAAAATTGAAACAGCTCATCAAAGATAACAGTAGAAAAACACACTAACATAAAGAGTCCACAATTTCACGAAATGATTAAATTCATATTTATTCAAAATAAAGTTAGAATACATAGTACCGCAAAAATTACCCCCAAAAATCACGACGAAATTAAGAAGATTTTGGAAGA